ATTAGCCAAAATAAAAAAACAAACAAAACAAAACAAAACCTCTCACAGGTGTGCTTTCCATTTGGGGGGTTTAGTTCCGAAAAGCCATCACTGTGGGCTTTGGGAGTTTGAAGGCCACATGCCATCCCCAGTTCACCCTCTCTGTTTTGTGTCTGGGTTCAAGATGTGAACCCTCAGCTTCTGCTCCAGCTGGTATGCTCACCTGCCTGCTGCCATGTTTATTCACAGTGGTGGTGACGGACTCTTAACCCTCTGGAACTGTAAATCCATAGAACACAGAGAACTTTCTTCTATCAGTTGCCTTGGTCATGGTGTTTTATCACAGAGACAGAAAAGGAACTCATACACGCGGTCCCCGGCTCCGTCTCCCGTGACTTCCCTTCCATGATGGACTGTAGCCCGGGACTGTAAGCCAAATGACCACCCCACAAGTTGTTTCTGGTCAGGGCATTTTATGACAGCACCAGAAGTGAAATTGGAGCAGAGGACCAGGAAACAGAGCACAACAGGAAGCAGAGGCTGGGCATAGCCTTCCAAGGCCCACTCGGAGTGACCAACTCCTGCCAGCGGGGCCCGGTGCCTAAGGCTGCCGGTGCCCAAAATAGCCCCACCGGATGCGGGCAGTTAAGACGTGGTTCCAGATGCAAGCCACAACAGTGACTGAACTGTGAGAGTCATCTCAGTGTACCTTTCCCAAGGGGCCACACAGCCAGAGAGCTCAACCCCAGCCTCCCTCCCCAACCCACCCCCATCTCCCCACCCTATCCCACCCCACCCCCACACCCCCACCGCTAATGCAATTCAAAAGGGAACCCCCATCTTCTGACCCTGTTCCTAGCTCCTGCCAGAGGCTTCCCTCAACCATTGTTCCTCAAGTCCAGACCTGCCTGGTTGGTATCTGGCACACTGACTGTCCTGCCTGGTCCTTGGGGGAAAGTATCTCAGTAATGAAGTCTTGTAGGGGACATGTGTGCAAAGGTCCGCAGCCAGCTCACAGGGTGAGGGAGTTCCCAGGAGTCGACCCAAACCACCTCGCCCTGCCATTGGTGCCCACTCCTGCCAATCCTGAAGAGTCACTGTTTTTCCCACCTCCCTGTTCCACGCATTTTGAATGGCCCCTGAGGCTGTCAGGCACCATCTGTTGCCTCAGCCTGTGGCAGCTATTGGGGACGTGCTTGCAAACGTATGAAACGATTTGGGTTGGCCTTGTGATGAGGCCCTTAGATGAGCAAGGGGAGGGTTTGCTAAGTTCATCAGGGGCCACATTAACCTGAGGGAGGCAGGAATCCAGAGCAAGGGAGGGAAGACTGAGGAGGGACGGGGAGGGGCCGGCCTGAGACAACCAACAAGACCCAGTAAGCTGCGGCCTCAAGCCTGTGTGCCTATGAGAGGAACAGGCTCACGTCTCTGACAAGGCCAAAGCTGAGGTGGCCCTCAGCAGAGTTGGCTCGTGACAGTCCATGAAGGTGACTTTACCTCACCTTATTCTGCCCAGATCAACACTGGAACTTATTCCAGGGAACAGTATCATAGCTATTGAACAGGGAGCCAGGCTGTTTCCTCATCTAATTGCCACAAAACTCGAGGAAAGGCAGAGCATCTGGGCTGGGGAAATGGCTTAGTGACTAAGTTCAATTCTGTGGACCTGAGTTCGATCCTCAGCACCCACATGAAGAAGCCGAGTGTGGCAGTGTGTACTTGCAATCCCAGCCTGAGGAGGTGGAGACAAGTGATCCCTGGGGGCTTGCTGGCTGGGATGCCAACCTAACTGAATGGAGGAGCCCCGAGCCAGTGAGAGACATTATCTCAAAGCAAACAAACAAACAAACAAAAAACCCACAAAACACCAATGTGGAGGGCTGGAGAGATGGCTCAGTGGTTAAGAGCACTTACTATTCTTCCAGAGGACCCAGGTTCAATTCCCAGCACCCACATGGCAGCCCACAACTGCCTGTAACTGAATTACAGACAAGGGATCTGACACCCTCATACAGAGTATATACAGGCAAAACACCAGTTCACATTCAATAAATAAATAAGTCTTTTTAAAAAATCAGAATCAAGATGTAATTTAAAGTGAGCGGTGGTGGCTCATGCCTTTAATCCCAGTACTCGGGAGGCAGAGGCAGGCAGATCTCTGTGAGTGTGAGGCCAGCCTGGGCTACAGAGTGAGTTTCAGGACAGCCAGAGACAGACAGGGAAACCCTGTCTCGAAAAACCAAACAACAAAGAGAGAGAGAGAGAGAGAGAGAGAGAGAGAGAGAGAGAGAGAGAGAGAGAGAGAGAAAACGAAAGAAAGACAAAACAAACAATATGGAAGCTCCTGAGGAACACCAGAGGTTGCCCTCTGGCCTCCACATGCACACACATGTACACGCACATCTGCAAACACACAGACATGCACATATATGTGCACACACAAAAGAAAGTGGGGTGTTTTTCCTGGGATACAGGGGGAGGCAGCAGCTCAGAGAGGTTAAGGAACTCGCCACGTCACATTGTTGAGGGTGGACCCGGACAAGGACCCATGGCAGCATCATGCTGCTTCCCTAGGAGGGACCCTAGCAGCACACTTTCATGGACGGCAACAGCTCCTGGAGACCAAGGACTGCCGGGGCACTTGAGTGGATCAGAATAGTAGCGTGTATGGGGTTTCCCAGGAGTCTTGAGGGCATTTCAGTCACCTTTTCTCCCTAGGCCCAGCATGTCACTCCTGAAATCCATCCACGCAGAGGACAGTAGGGAGCAGAATTAGGTCAACTGTAGAGGAGGCTCTGACCCACCTGGGACCTGAGTGCAGACACAAAGGCCCACCTGAGGATGCCCTGAGACCCCAGAAGCTGTTGTCCTCACAGCTTCTCCTCTGCTAGCTTGTGCCTACCCTGACGTCTGAGAGGGCTGCTGTGAATAGTCCCACGTTGGGGTTAAGTGGCTTGGGAAATGAAAGAAGGGTGGGTCTCTTCAATATGGAGACTCGAGAGCCATGCTCTGACAGGACTCCAGATACTGAGTTCCCATCTGAGAGGCACCCATGGGGAGTACCACAGCTGAAACTGTGGTCTCAAAGCACAGCATACTGGGGCACTGTGGGAGCCTACAACCGACTCAGTTTCCCAGTTTGAATCTGAAGTCTATTCTGAGTTAATAAAGTTCAGGCTTGCTTGCTCCAGGGCTGTGAGAAAGTCCTGATTAGCCCATGGGAAGGGACATACTATCTAGCTAAAAGCAGGCTGCTGATGCCAGCCGGAGGTACATCGAGATAAAAAAAATGAAACTGCCTACTCTTTGACTCAAGGACAGGATAGATAGTGGTTGAATGCCTGTGCTGTGCATTGTTCTACCTCTGTCCTTCAAGACTGTACATAAGCTGGCTGTGAAATAAACTCGGGGCCGTCCGGCATTGACCGGCAGACCTCTCCACTCTGTTCTGTCTCCTTCATTGTCTCTACAGTCCGCACACCTCCACCCAGCTACCCAGTCGACTGGTCAGCAGGCTCTGACAGGACACTTGTCACATGGTTCAACCTGTCAGCAGAGTGAGGTGGGGCCCAAGACACAGCTCCACGCTGCTGACTCTGGAGATCTTTCCAGAGGCAGCTTCTGGGGAAACTGGAATTCTTGACTTCGGTGCAGAAAGAATTTCAGGACAAGAAAGCGTGGAGCAGCCTGGCGGTGGTGGCGCATGCCTTTAATCCCAGCACTCGGAAGGCAGAGCCAGGCAGATCTCTGTGAGCTCGAGGCCAGCCTGGTCTACAGAGCGAGATCCAGGACAGACAGCAAAACTACACAGAGAAACCCTGTCTCAAAAAAAAAAAAAAAGAAAGAAAGAAAGAAGGAAGGAAGGAAAAGAAAGCATGGAGCAGAACTAGAGTTTCCAGGAAGAAAGTTTAGCACAGATTTAAACACAAGGGTTAAAAAGGAAGCTGCCAGAGGATGAGATGAGACATCCAAGTGTAGGTGTGGGCTTCTCAAAGACGAGCTTAACCTTCTATAACCCTAAACCGTTCTGCTAGCTCTCCACTTACATCTCAAAGGGTCACAAATAAACTTTTTCCCTCCTTTTATAAATACTTATTTGTTTGCAGGAATATGTGGGCCCACGGCGCATGGGTGGAGGTCAGAGGACATCTTCTGAGAGTCAGTTCTCTCCTTCCACCGTGCGTGTTCTGGGGCTTGAACGCGGGTGGCCAGGGGCGGTGGCAAGTGCCTTTACCTGCTCGGCCATCTTGCAGCCCTTCCTCCCCCTTCTGTGATAATGGAGGTCACAGGGTGGTTCTGGCGGTACCTTGTGAAGGACTGCAGTATGGTAAGGTCGTAGGGTTGCACAAGAAGATTAGGACATGGCTTTGACTGTAACTGTTATTTCTGTGAGATTCCTAGAAAAGTGTAGGTTTGCTGCTAGGGAAAGAGACATCTTAACACTTAGGACATAAGCACGGCTCCCTGCTGTTTTGGCATCTTACTTGAAACCTCTCTGTAAAGTCTGTCAAGCGGTGGTGTGGGTGGGGGAGAGATGCTCCCCTTACCCCCCACCCCGCCCCTTGCCGCCTGTAACTGCAACAGACAAGCATGATGACCCTCCCCCTTGCCAGCAACAGCACTCAGGAAAGCAGGCCCTGCTCCTCTAGGCAGCACAGCAGAGGTAGCCCAGATGTTGCCAGCAAGAGAAAGCTGCCCCATTACTCATCAGACATGTGGTAGCATGGGTGGAGGAGAGATGTCCTCCTCCCAACCCCCACCCATCAACACCTGAGACAGGTGGAGGAGCTGGCCCTGGGGTCACAAGAGCGGGAGAGCTCTCCCTACCCCTCACCAGCTGCAGCACTCAGGAGTGCTGATGGCCTCTGCATCTCGAATGGGCAACACAGTAGAGCTGGTCCTGATGGTGTAGGTGGAGGAGAGTCAACCCTGAGGGCATGAAAGCAGGAGAACAGCCCCCCAACCCTTACTGCCCCCTTAACCCCCAATCATTGCTGTAAGGATGAACTAGCTGGGGCAATGCTGGAGCGCTCGCCCAGAACCAGGCTTATGAATTAGCCCACCCCAACATCCACCCCATCTATGATCTGCTGGAGCACGTGAAGGAACCTGACCTGCAGACCCAAAGCTGCAGGATCTCCACAACACAGGACAACAACTGGATAGCCAAGAGGAGTCCTAGGGAGAGCCCAGCATTGACAGTGTAATAGAAACTGGAGACCTCCAACCTGACCAATGACTCTTTGCAATGAGCACCTGCAAGTAAAGATATATGGACAAAAGGGTTTATTGAGTGACTCACTGTGTCACACTGCAGCTTCCATGGTGAGAATTTTAATTTTCTCCTTTTTATCTCTTAAATTTTGTTTTATTGGAGGGGGGGTGTGGGCATTGTAGAGGCAGAGGATGGATGCAAAGGGATGGGGAAATATGAATGGGATCAAGATGAATAATGTGAAAGACACATTGAATACATAAAAAAAGGAAGTAAAAAAGAAAGAAAGAAAAGACAGCACCTCTGTGTCACCAGCCTTCACAGCAGGTGTCAGATGCACTAGAATTCTTACCATCGGAGACACTTTGACCAGACTCGAGAGTGAGCCGTTTCCTCCACTTACACATGGGCAAACTGAGGCATGGAGAGGGTAACATGCCTAGAGTGTCATGTTGCTCAACCAGATGTTTTTGTTTGAGTCCATGTGCCCATACTTTCCCCTGCCTTTCTGTCCAGCCTCACTACCAACTCCGTGCAGCTCTGTGCAACTCCAGCAAGGGGCTGTATTGTAGCTCCTCAGCGGCTCGTGAGAATTCCACTCTGGGGAGGCCTTAGCACTTGGGCCTTCAGAGCCTGTGCTAGCAGACCCTGTAGAACCTTTCTAGACACCGAACATCAAGAACTCATCAGGAAGCACTGAGCTGCAGGGCTGGGGAGATGGCCCAGAGGTTAACGCACTCGATCCGAGTTTGAGTCTCCAGAACCCGGGTAAATTCTCTGTGGACGTGGAGGCTGCCTGTGGGTCTAGCCTTGGGAGGAGGAGACAGAGATCCCCAGAACACACTGAGTATTGAGACTAGCCAATCAGCGAACTCTAGGATTGACTGGAAGACCCTGACTCAATGACAACATGGAAGGGTGATGGAGGAACGTTCTTGGCATCAATCTCAGGCCTCCACACGCACACATATGCATTCAAACCCACCCATGTGTCGTCATCCACATGCAAACGTGTACACACACACACACACAAATGGAAAATAAATTTAAAAACACCTCCTTTATGAGTATCCAAGAATGTCCTTATGGCTCCCTGCTTGGAATCTGAGCCCTGGGGGACCGGGAAAGCTCTTTTTTTCTGGCCCCTCCCCCACCTTTCACACCCATGTCTTTGAGGCGCTGAAAGGCATGCGCAGATGTCAGGCGCTGAAAGGCATGCGCAGATGTCAGGCGCTGCTCTCATCTGCGTGTTCACGGGCCCACCCCTCAGTTCCCATGGCAGCCTGGCACATGCTGCCTGCACCTTTTTTTTTTTTTTCCACACTGCAGTCTGTCTGGCAACTTGTCTGGCTCCCAACTGTGCCGTGGATGGCTGGCGGGCTGGGCCGGGCCCTTTCTCCACACCTGGCTGGGCACCTGGCCCAACATAGGTGCTCAGGGACTGGTGAGTGGGTGGGTGCAGGTGGAGAAGACGGAGCAAAAGCAGAGAGGTAGGAAAACGCACTGCAAGGTGAGGACTGCGGGCCAAGAGCATTTCTTGAGCACCTGCTGTATGCAAGCTCTGAGGAGGCCAGCTTGTAAGATGCTCGTGCAGTTTCTAAACACTGAGTATATTGTTTTGTTTTTAAACTTCACGGCGTATGGATGAGGTAAATTGATTATAACTCGTGGAATAGAGAATGTATGAGTGGGGTAGCAAAAAGGGCAGTGGCCTTGGGCCATGAAGTTTGCTTTGAGTGCTGGCTTTACCCTAGCTAGCTATGAGGCCCTGATTTACACAGAAGGGTGGCTCTGTGCCCACATTTTACAGCATTCAGCCTGCAGCCCAATTGAATAAGAAGTGTGTGGTACCCCCAGTCTACAGGTAGGCTTAGGCACAGGAAAGGGACCAGAAGCCATGACCACCTCATCTCAGTGTCCACAGAGCATCCAGCAGGGCTGGGCCCCCGAGGCACGTGTCCAAGTGAAGAATGGGCTGTCTGCCTGAGGGCAATGTCCAGAAAGCCAGCCGGGGACTGAGGGGACGGGTCCTCGGGTAATAGCACTCGCTGCACAAGGATGAGAACCTGGGTTCAAATCCCCAGCCGCCATGTAAAAATCTGGGAGTGACATCTGTAACTCCAGTGCTGTGGGGGATGGGCACAGGAGGGTCCCTCTGGCTTGCTGGCCACCAATCCAGCTCTCGGGGACTAAGGTGGAGTGTGACAGAGCAGTGCACCTGATGTCCTCTTCTGGCCGCTGCGTAGCACATGAGTACACACTCACAGCATGGATACACACACACACACACACACACACACACACACACACACACACGCCTGTGGTGACAAGTCCTTGAGGGTTGATTATACCTGACCAAGGGTGTGGCTGGGTAGACAGCTGCTGGTCCCTGTCCACAGCACTGTGAGTTTTAGGGGATTCCTAGTGTCGCTTTGTCCCTGACCTCAGTGACACTTGGCACACAGTTCCTACATCGGTTCCTTTTCTCATGGCTGTAAGTAAATGGCTGACAAGAAGCAACCGGCAGGAAGAGCAGTGTCCTGGGACTCGTAGGCAGAGGGGAAGGCGTGGCGTCAGGAGCATGAGACAACTGGTCACTTGGCATCTGAAATCATGAACTAGAGCATGGACAGAAACTGCACCTAGACCACAAAGCCACCAGGCCCGCTCCCCGTGACCCACTTCCTCCCGTGGGTCTCCACAGCCTTCCCAAACAGCACCACCAGATGGGGACCAATGAGCCCATGTGGAAACGTTTCACATTCAGACCACAACACCCTCTGTGTCTCCACCAGCAACACTTCACTATGAGTGCCCATTCGTCAGGCTCCTGTGAGATAGGCTTTAGTCTAGGCTCCGGAGAAACAGAACGGTAGGAATCATGGGCCGCGAGATGGCTCAGTGGGTAAAGATGCTTGCTGCCAAGCCGGAAACCTTAAGTTCAATCTTTGGGATCCAGGTGGGGGAAAGAGAAAAACAACCCCCACAAGTCATCCTCTGACCCCACACCGTGTGTGGCATGCTCACACTCCAACACACAGATAGATGCAATAAAACCCCTACAAGTCGTCCTCTGACCCCACACGTGTGGCATGCTCACACACTCAAATAAATGAATAGATGCAATCAACATTGTAAAGAAATCCTCACTTTTACATCCCTGCAAGGGCATAGGCAACTAACAAGGAGGAAGTAACCGCAGAGCGTGGGAAAAGGAAAGGAAGCCTTCTCGGGGATGGGGGACAGGAAAAGCTAGGGGGTGTCAAATAGCTCCCTAAAGTGGGCAGCAAAAGAGCTGATCCTGAGAAGGTGATGACGGCATGAAGATGGGGGGCACCAAGTGGGATCATGGGAAGGAACATTCTAGGACCACGTGACTGGAACATGTGAGGTTAAAGCAGGTAGAGGAGGTGAGACTCACAGGAAGGTGTGGACCACGTAAGATCCTATGAAGGAAGGGCTTGGGTCCGCCTCATCTTCAGGCAAGGCTGCCCTCATCTTCACTCTGCTACTACACGCTCTTTCTTTCTTTCTTTCTTTCTTGTTTATTTGGTTGTTTGGTTTTGTTTTGTTTGTTTGTTTGTTTGTTTTTTTGTTTTTTGTTTTTTTGAGACAGGGTTTCCCTGTGTATCCCTGGCTGTCCTGGAACTCGCTCTGTAGACCAGGCTGGCCTCAAACTCATAGAGATCCACCTGCCTCTGCCTCCTGAGTGCTGGGATTAAAGACTTTCACAACCATGCACCGCCCGGCTTAGAGTCTCTGGGATAACCTGGATCCCACTGCCTGGCTTTGAGTCTCTGGGATGTTTAGGTTCCTCTGTAGCTCATGGCTGTGGGATGGTCTGTATGGCAAATGTGTTGCTGATTGGTCAATAAATAAATCACTGATTGGCCATTGGCTAGGCAGGAAGTGTAGGCGGGACAAGGAGGAGAATAAAGCTGGGAAGTGGAAGGCTGAGTCAGAGAGACACTGCCAGCCGCCACGATGACAAACAGCATGTGAAGATGCCGGTGAGCCACGAGCCATGTGGCAAGGTATAGATTAATGGAAATGGATTAATTTAAGCTGTAAAAAAAGTTAGCAAGAAGCCTGCCATGGCCATATAGTTTGTAACCAATATAAGTCTCTGTGTTTACTTGGTTGGGTTTGAGTGGCTGTGGGACTGGCAGGTGAGAGAGATTTGCCCTGTCTGTGGGCCAGGCAGGAAAACTCTAGCTACAGCTCATGGCCTCCCAGCCAACTAAGGCTGTACTGGTGGCTGTGAGGAAATGTCGTGGCACCACCCGGACAAGATGGGAAGACGCATGGGTGTCTTCTCCAGAAAATATCCTCAAGCACTGCCTTTCCAACAGAGTGACCATCACAGGCTGGTTATTGACAAGATCGGTCAGGAAGCACATGTCACCTCCAGCTCCCTGTACCTTGCTGCTGTCTCAGCATTTCTGTGGTGACATTGAGGATTTTGTTTTCCTGTGGGAAAGCTCAAGTGAATTATCTCTTCTATGGATAATCTCATGGATAGTTGCATGCAGAGTTGAGAGAGTTCATGTTCTGGCCTTCCTTTCTCAGCAGCTGAAATGTTTCCCATCTACCAATTACAGGCCATTTGTCTCTCCTTTCTGCCCAGAGAGCACCTCCTTCCAGTTCCCAAGGTCCATCCTGGCGATTACGCCTTTAACAGTACCTACATCTTCACCTTTGGTGTTAATGCAGATGGGCCCTGTTATTTTTTGTTCAGGCACCAAGGATATGAACATTTCTTTGCTTCCTCTTTACCATCTGTGGCAGGGGGATAGCTCCTTTGGGTTATTTTTTGAATTTATTTTTAACTGTCCTCCTTTGCAGTAGGAAGAGTGGCACACTTTGGGTCCAAACGAAAGCCTCCATTTTGAAATGAAGTTGTACCACAGTGTCTTTTGGAACGTGAGTGAGTGAAGGGAAAAAGGAAAGGAGAGTCAATATTGATTTCCATGCATATGGAAATCACATAGAGATGCTGTCTTAGCCCTACTCGAATGGCTGTCATAACAAATAACAAACGCCGACAAGGATGAGGGCGGAGGCACCTTTCACCCACGAGTAGTGGGAATGCACACTAGCAGAGCCCCTATGGCAAACAATATGGAGCTTCCTCGAACAAGAAATAGAACTGCCGTATGGCTGAGCTGCTCCGTCCCTGGAAGTACATCTGAAGGACTCGGAGTCAACCTACTTCAGAGACACTTGCTCACCCTCATGTTATTCACTACAGCCAAGCTATGCAGTCAGCCTAGGTCTCCATCAAGAGAAGAACGAACAGGGAAAATGTTCCTCGGGGAAGCAGCCACCTCAGGGACGAGATGCTTCCGACCACACCCAGGCCTCACCGGCTGTTTGCCCCGCTGCTGCTGACAGTTGCGCTGCTTGCCCAGAGGCACCAAAATCTTGGCTCCTTGGGGTGCGTATCCTACCCAGTCTGCCTCGGAATGATCCTGTGTTAGCTACTCTTTCCTGTGATTGTGGGAGCGGTGCATGAGGGGTGCATGTGTGTGCATGAGGGGTGCATGTGTGTGCATGGGGGGTGCATGTGTGTATGGAGGCCACAGGGTAGGTTCCAGGTGTCTTCTTCAACTGCTCTCCACGTCATTCATTCATTCATTCATTCATTTTTAACATCCCTGAACTTTGGAGTTCACTGATTGGCTGTACTGGCTGACCAATAATCTCAAGGGATCTACCTGTCTCCTAAGATGTGGCATGTCTAAGAGTTACTTTTCTCCCTGCTTTACCCTAGAACCTCATTCCAGGGAAACGCTGAGGAGAACTTGAAATCATCATAAGCAAGCTGCCACAACTTCTTGATGAAGTTGGAGCTCCAAATAGAAATGAAAAATTTAAAGCAAAATAAAACGACTTTTCTTTGTGTCAGAGTCAGAGACAAACTAAAGAAAAACAGTAACGTAGGGCTGGGGAAGGGAGGAAGGGTCTGGGGGGCAGGGTATGGTAGTGGAAGGCTTCCTGGAGGAGATGAGGCTGAACCAAAGGTTCTTGGTCCAGGGGAGGGGAGGTGGCTCAATTAGTAAAGTGTCCGCCAGACAAGCATAAAGAACTGAGTCTGTCTCTGTGAGTTCGAGGCCAGCTTGGGCTACAAAGGGAGTTCCAGGACAGGCTCCAAAGCTATACAGAGAAACCCTGTCTCAAAGAACCAAAAAAAGCCGGGCAGTGGTGATGCACGCCTTTAATCCCAGCACTCAGGAGGCAGAGCCAGGCTGATCTCTGTGAGTTCGAGGCTAGCCTGGTCTACAGAGTGAGTTCCAGGAAAGGCGCAAAGCTACACAGAGAAACCCTGTCTCGAAAAACCAAAAAAACCCCCTGAGTCTGAGTCCCCAGCCCCCACTCACAAGGCCAGGCATGGCGCCAGTCTCCTGTAATCATAGCTCTAGGGAGTGACACAGAGGAGTCTCTGATCCTGGCTGGTCAGCTAGTATAGCTGTGTTGGTAAGCTCTAGGTTCAGTGAAAGACCCTGTCTAAAAAAAAATAAGATAAAGGGACTGGGTAGGTGGTTTAGTGGGTAAGAACCCTTGTCCAAACATGTGGGTCTGGATTTAGATTCCCAACAGCAGCGTAAAAAGTGAGGCATGTGCCTGTGACCCCAGCATTGAGGGTGGGAACAGGCGGATCCCAGGAGCATAAATCCACACACACATGCACATACACAAATGTGTACACATGCAAACAACACATAAGTTTAAAGTTTTTGTTACGTTTGCCAATTAAAGTATCACAGTGTCAGCCGCTGTTGCACCCCTGTTCTGTATTTCAGGGAGCAAAATCCAAATGCTCTCAGAGGCATATGAGGACTTTGTGGCAGTGAGGGGCTTCTCAAAGCTTGAGTGCCCCAGAATCCTGAGAATCCCTGGAAGCCAGCGGGGCACAACTTAGTGCAGAGGCCCCTCTGGCCAGCAGGGGGTGCAAGTTCCCTGTGACCAGGGGCCTGGCGTGCTCACAGGAGCCTCGGGGTGGAGGACAGTAGGAAGCCCAGGCCTCTGAGAGCTTCCAGCATTTATTAATAGCCCTTGAAGCGAGAGTGCACCTGTGATCATGGACACACTCCCCCCGCACCACCACCGAGGTTTCCAAGACCCGGCCCTGCAATTCCCTCCAGAGAGTCTTCCCCTTGCTACCCCGGCCGGCCTCCTGATCTGTAACCAGGCAAGGTCAGGCCGGGTTTGATGGTCTTCATGGTTTCCAGAGGCCTCTGGGATAGCCTGAGGAAGGCTTGGCCTCTGGTGTTTCTCAGGTTCTCAAAGCCTGTACGCTATGAAGAGAATCCTGTCAACAGGAAATGACAGACGTCAAAAAATAATTATCAGAGAGACCAATCCAAATGCCTTCTAATCTTCCTAGTTGAAATATAATAAACTGTAGGCCGTCATGTTATGTGATGTTCTTTAACTGGTAAGAACTCTGTCGTGGGGTTGGGGAAGTTGCTCAGTTGGTAGAGTGCTTGTATAACATGCGTGAAGCTCTGAGTTCCATCTCCAGCAACACATCAGCACCATGGTGGTGGTCACAGCATTCAGGGGGTGGAGACAAGAAGATCAGGTGTTCAAGGTCAGTCTCGACTTCTTCAGGAATTCAAGGCCAGCCCGGGATACATGAAACCCTATCTCAAGAAAAGGACCTTGTCATCAAAGGATTTTTCATGACCTGGGTCAATGCTCACAGGGAGCGTGCTGGTTTTCTTCATTTGATCTTTCAGAAACTGCTCTGCCTTGTACCCTGAAATGTTGGACACCTCACAGCCACCACCATCACAATCTACAGCATCCCAAATCCTTGGCTTCCCGTGCGATAGTTGGTCTCAGATCACAGAAGACATCAGTAGAAAGGTGAAAGGAGAGCAAGGCAGAGAGACATCTTCACCGTGCCTCCTGCCTCCTGCCTCCTGCCTCCTGCCTCCCAGCCTGTGCTAGGTACAGTCTCCTCTGGGCTCTGTTAGCGTGGCTTTCCCCTTTTCCCCTTCAGTGCTGGAGCTGGTCCCAGCTTCTGCTATTGTGGGTCCCTGGATGTCTGTGCAGCTCCTGGTACTCTCCTTAGCTTCGTCTCTCAGTAAACCACCCCTCACTGCAAAGGCCCTGCACCTAGCTGCCTCCCGCCAGGTGTCTGACCTTTTCCCAGAAGAACAGAGAGATTACGGGAATTTGCAGAGGGGAGAATGGCCTGGTGCTTTATGGGCCGGGGCTGTCACAGCCATGGAGAGGGAAGAGTGTCGATACCAGGTTCAAATTTAGAAAATGGTTTGAAGGAATGGTCTAAAAAATGCTTGCCTGCAAGGGGAGGGATATTCTGACAAAAAGCAAAGAAAGGAGGCATCCTGGACCCTTGCTCCCTTTACAAGTCACCATGCATACCCACAGATATTATAAATCTTATGGGAATGTGCATCTCATAAGGAGAGGAGGTGGAGGAGTGCGGGAGAATGAGGGCAGGCAGGAGAGGAAGGCAGCTACATAAAGTAGGCCACATGAGCTCGGTTGGCCTGGTTTTCCTCAGCCAGGCTCTCACCAGCTTAGAACAGGAGGGGACGGCATTCCTTAGAACCTGTGCTCTCTGCCTGAATCTCTCAGTTTATCCACCCATGGGATGGGCTGATGAGCACATCCACTATGCTCATGAGGATGACAGATGGAGTTCTCTCTCTCTCTCTCTCTCTCTCTCTCTCTCTGTGTGTGTGTGTGTGTGTGTGTGTGTGTGTGTGTGTGTGTGTGTGTAAAATGATTGGCCCTGTGCCCAGGGCATTGTAGGGACTCATTAAGTGTGAACTTCCCTTCCTGTCCCCTTGTCACATCATGGTGGGAAAGTCACAGCTGTAGCTGTGTGCTAAAGAAGGAAGGCAGGCTTTGAGACAAAAGCCTCATGTTGTGACCGGCTTGCTCATGCCCCTTCGTAGGCAGCTAACATGTAGTGAGTGGACCTGTGAATGCTGGACTCAGACCTGCCCTCCGTGAGCCAGAACCTGGTGGCCCCTTCCCAGCCTCCTCTCTGTCACCAGGTGTGTCCACCCTGCAGCCCGTGGACCACATGTGGCGTGTGGAGAGCTACAAACGCGGCTCAACATAAAATCACACTTAACGAAAACCCAGGGTGTTTGGGATTTCCCCCAGGGGTTGAACTCAGGTCCTCCTGCTCACGCAGAGGCACTTTACCAACAGAGGTGCCTCCCCAGCCCCAAAGTGCCTCTTGCTCTCCTCTAGTCGGGCACGTGTGCATGTGAGTGTGCGCACATATATACTATTACCTTGGCCACAGGCATAACCTGATGTAGGAGGTGACAGTGACCATCACCACTGTCATGTCCTAGGAACAAGCACCAATGTTACTCGGATACCGAGGGAAGAAGTCACACAGGGTGTGATTCACTGCGGGTCCCACACCATACAGGGTGTGTGCACCGTGCCTGTCCCCACAGAGTCCTGCTTTTGGATGATGAGCAAACTCACCTTGTGTTTCCCTTCCATGTTAACCATTCCCATCTTTATCAGAGTATTCAGTGAGTAGTTTGTCTTTTTTTTTTTTAATTAAGACTTGCTTTATTCAATTTATTCATTTATTTAAAGATAAGCTTTTAACATGTGGATCTAGCTGGAGTCTTGCTATGTAGATCAGGCTGGGCTCAAACTCACAGAGACGCACCTGCTTCTGCCTCCCAAGTGCTGGGATTAAAGCCAGCCACACCTGGTATACACTTGTGTATAGATGTGTGTGTTGGAGAGAGGCTCCTGCGCGTGTGCGTGCAGATGCCTGTGAAGGCCAGAAGAGGGCATCAAAACCCCAGAAGCTGGAGTTACAGGCAGTTGCGCGCCGCGTGTGAATTCTGAGAAGTAAACTTGGGTCCTCTCCATGAGGAGCAAATGTTAACTGCTGGATCGATCATCTTTCCAGCCCCAGAAAGTGGGGTTTTTGTTTGTTTGCTTGCTTGCTAGGTTTTTGTCTTGTTTTTAACCCTAGATCACTGTGATGACACCAGGAAGCCTGGTGATATTTGCTGCTGGTTTCCTGAGGGACACATTACGCTGTCTCACAGCGGCCCTCACACTCCTCATGGTCTCTGCTCCGGAAGCCACTTACTGGTCCGCATCCGTTCCCCATGCATCTCCTCCCCATGCATCTCTTCCCTCTGCTGAGTTGTAGCCCTGCGCCATAGAGCGCATGCTGGGTCGTGGTTGCCAACTTACTTACTTCTGTCCTCTCCCTGCTCTGGTTAAGCAAAAACTTGATTCCGTTTTTTGCTTAGGGGATTGTGTTGTTTGTTACTTTGCTTGGAGCAACAATCATGTACTCAGCTGAACACAGCCCATTCTGAGCCATACTACCGCCGTACTGTGGCTACCGAGAGGTACTCCACCAAGCATGGCTGGCTTGCCCTTTTGTTCTGGAAGGATCACCTTGCCCAAGGACTTTCACCTTCTTGTTGGCCTAAGCTTGATGACGAGGTCCCTGGTAACTTCAAGAGTACCCGGGAAAGAAGCCTTTTTTAGCTGCCGGGTACATTGTCAGTTTGAACAAAGTCTCGGTTTTATTCATAGGAACACAGAGGAAATGGATTTGGGGTAGGTCACCAGCAGGACCACTGTGGGAAATGAGGCCAAATCTCCCCAGGTTCTCCGAGCTGATGGCTCTGTGCAACAACGGTTGACTCACTCTGGGTCCTCAATGACAGGCCAAGTTAACACACTACAGCTCTTGCTTTGTTGGCCGGAGAGGGCCTGTCTAAAAGTGCTGGCTGCTGTCAAACAGTGCTGATGGTAGTGCCTCTGCCCAAGAGCCGCACTGTGCAAGGCCCTCCGAAGGCCCACCGAGTCTCCGTGGTGACCTCAAGCCGTGAGATGCCATGGGTAAAGTGCTTTGAGGGGTGAGGGCTTTAAG